GGATTCAAGTGTGTCAAAACTGTTAAAAAATGCTAAAAAAGGCCTTTGGTGATTTGTCTGTGTCGCAATCACGAGTATACGAATGGTTTAAAAGGTTCAAAGACGGTCAGGTAAGCTTGGACCATGATGAGATCCCTGGCCGCCCAACAACTTCTGTTACTGAAGAAAAAATTGAATCGGCGAAGCAGATCGTGTTGGAAAATCGTTGTGAACTGATTAGAGAGATGGCAGTATAGACGCCAATTGTGTTGCAAATCGTACGATATGCGCTAAACTTTGACAGAATGTGTATAATAGTGTTGCCAGCGTGATAATAAAAAAGTTTGCCGATTGGATAAGCGCGGGAATCACAGTTCTCGTGAATAAGTTCTTTTTTGATCACAAGGTATAATAGATTTTTGTAACCCAGTGTAGGTTTTTGAGAATTTCAAAATATTGTGAACACGGAGATGAAACTTGATTTACTTAATTTAAAAATTCAAAGATATCCACACACATAGATACTGACATTGGATATGCACTGCTTAATGTAGTTTTGGGCCCTCTTGCCAGTGAACTCCAAACATATTTACTTTATCGTTCAAAAAATTTAAAATTTTTTTTTCAATAAAAAATCACGCGTTTATGAATAAAAATTCAATGAATATATATATATATATCAAACTTTTACATTTTACATACATATTTAATCAAACATATTTCGACACAGATTTAGGATACATGATTAAGCACTAAAATCACACTAAACCGATATTCACAGTTTTCATGGCACTTATATATCACATAGTTGATATTACCACTTTTCATAATATATTGGTGTGTCCTTATATATTTATCGTTTTAGATGTTTAATAACTAGTAATTTTAAAGTTAAACATATTTAATTACCAATGCCATAAAAAAGAAAAAATTAAAGTACATCTAACTGTCACTCCAATGCTCGCTATTATACCATCCAAAATATGTATATGATGTATTATGAGATAATGAAATCAAAGACGAATGCCTCTTATATATTAATTTATATCTAATCTCTACTAATGTTTACCTAATACATATAATAAAATTAGAGCAAATGCTATGAGAATTATAAATTAAAAATACATAAAGCGATTAAAATACATGAAGACACATCTGTAAGATAATCGAGATAATCGAATTGTCTGTTCAGCTTATATTTGTAAAATAGTCGTTTAATAGATAACTACCTGCGAAGCAATACTGTAGTAGTTCAAGTCCATATATGTACCAACTGTCTTAGTTTGGAATAATTAAAATGTTCAATTTGGAACGTACTTAATTATCGTGTGCTATTTATTAAGGCTAATACACCGCAATGAATATTTCGTCATGGTTATCATCTTACTGAAAATTAGTGCTTACATATTGTTTCTTTTTGTGGTATTATTATACCCACTAATTTGAGAGTAGATATTATTGAAAGCGACTACATTGAGTCAGTATACATGCCAGCAAGGTGAAATAAATTGTGATTCTTATAGGAAACTATACATAGGAAACTATACTACATTGTGACCGAAAAGTTTCCGGTCATAAATAAATAAAACGCAAAATTCTTAATCTTCATCAATATTTATTTTATCTCCTTCAAAATATGCTCCATTAGAAGCGATAACACAAATGCCAACGTTTCTTCCAATCATCAAAACATTTTTTATAGGCGCTTTCCGGTATGGCTTTGAGTTCCCTCTGCGAATTCTGTTTTACGTCTTCTATGGATTCAAAACGCGTTCCTCTGAGTGGTAATTTGAGGTTGGGAAACAGGAAAAAGTCACACGGTGCAAGATCAGGTGAATACGGTGGCTGTTCGATGGTATTTATTGAATGTTTGGCCTTAAAATCGTTGATAATGTTGAACAAATTGAGGTGAATCGGAACAAGCCGGGCGTTGACACGTCGCATACACAAATTGTCCACCAAAATCAAACGAGCCATCTCACGACCGATGCCTAGCTCTCGTGCTATCTCTCTAACACTCACATGAGGATTTTTGAACACGATTTCCTTTGCCTTTTCAATGTTTTCGTCGGTGGTAGAGGTCGAAGGTCGTCCAGAACGCGGCATGTCTTCGACGGTCGTACGACAGTCCTGAAAGGCTTTGTACCACTCATAAACTTGAGTTTTCGATAAAACTGATTCCCCATAAGCCTTTTGTAGCATTCGCAACGATTCTGCACACGAAATTTCGTTCGAAAAACAAAATTTGATGCAAACTCTTTGTTCAATATTTTTTTCCATTGTTTTTTTCGCAACGCACTACTGAGGTGAACTGGTTTCAACAGCTGCCGTAAACGAACTGTCCGACAGATCGCGCTCATTTTTTGGCATAGTAATTAAGGACAGTGCTGCCAAACTACATAAACTTAAAATATCGAAAAATATACAGCGCGCGAATTTTAAATGAGAACCTCCGAAAACCTTTCGGTCACAATGTATATATAGTATAGGAAACTACAGGAAACTACAGGAAACTATTCTATATATATATATATAGAATATAGAAAACTATATATAGTTTCTATATAGGAAACTAAAAATAGCCACTTATGCGATGCAATTCCCAGTTGCCTTAATCGATGCTTACTCTTTTAATGACCACCTTGGATGAATTTGTTCTGGTCCACACATAATATTTACTAAACAATTTATTACTATTTTGACCAAACTTCTGTGTTTAGTTCTGGACACTTAGAGGCAATATAATTTTAAGTATTCAACACATTTATTAAAAATGACATATAATAGTCTTTGAGATATTAATTTTGTTGATATGATACTTCAATCTCACTAAAACTTTAATGCCCACTCTATGAAGTGCAACGAGTTTATTTAAAGCTACTATAGATGGGTTGCAATTTCATGTCTTTAGACTTTACAGTACATTTAGTGATTCTTTAATTAAACTACCTCAATTCAGAACTTTGAGATTTTCTCTAATGTGTCTCACATCAAGATAACAGAATTTCACTGCTTCAATTAATTGGTGTTTGCCTATCCAACCAGACAACCATTAGGTGTCTAAGCGAATATAAGTTCACATTCTAATTTTTTTATTGGTTTCAGGTAAAAGCATCAACACACAAAAACGTCGTATATCTAATGTTTTTATATCTATAGACATTTCTTGATGTGGAAGAATACCGAGTTTAATGAAGACAAATACATCATTCGTTCAATTTTATTGAACCTAAGAAACAAAAAATCAATTTCAATCATTCATTTCATTAATTCATTTTTCAATAAAAGTAATGAATTTATAAAAATTAAACTAATTAATTAATTCAATATTTTTATTGAACTATCTTCTTTGATTGATGAATCAGAAATATGTCCGAGCGAAGTTGCAGTGCATGCAGAGCTTGTCAGTTTCCAAAATTATTCGTAAATTTAACCGGCAAATGGATCTTTCTGTTACTAAACAATACAAGAAGATGCTCCATTTGATAATCTGGAAAACTATGTGACAAATATCCTGTTATCTATTTGGGCATCGAACTTGATTTTTTGTTTTTCAACAGTATTTGCTTCGAACTTGATCTGTTTACAGCTGGCGGAATGAATTGGCTATCATGAAGCGGACTTAACCCTATATTAAGATAATACGCTGGCTTAACCCGATTAATATATCAGCTTTCCGAATTTCCACTTCGACTTGTTAATGAGCTCTTTATACCGATTAGTCGCTTTGTGAAAACTATTAGGAAATGTAATAAGAGCAAGATGCTTAGATAAATATTAGTGTATATATATTTTGTAATTTGGTTCATTTCAGTGTGGTTTCTTGAAAAATTTTCAAGGCATCCTGAACGTTTAACTATCTTCCAGTTTAACAGTTATGTTTTTGTAGTAATGTCGTTCTTGAAGGCTTTACGCCAATGGTGAACTTTCCATTCAACATTGTTCAGACCTTGATTTCTGATTACTTATGTTAGTTTCACCAAAAGAGTTAAAGACTTTTTCAATTGTGTTTAAGGATACAATTGTTTTTAAAGTGCTTTTATTTCAAAGTTTCGTATATAAGAAAATAAATGAGCCAAATATTGTTTACAGTTTTTTTTTAATTATATTCCGAATTGTCAAGTGGCAATTTTATTTATAGAGCAAACATTGCATTTCATGCAATATACATAAATTTTGTTAAATATCCAAACAAAGAGTATGACTTTACATAAAACGAAATTCATATCGGTTTAATTTAAATTAATTTGCAATTCCACAAAACGCACGTATTTTATCAGATCATCTCCTGTGTATTTAAGTTACAATTCTCATTATGAATTTCGTTCGTACGAAATAATGAGTTTTACACATGCTTACGCCTGGCGCTGTTACGGAAAACAAACTCACAGTTGTTACATATACGTTGAGTCATTTTCATTTGCTTTCCATTCAGACAAAAATAATTTCCACCAATTCAAGGACACTTTCACGGCAAACATATTGTACACATGCATGCACAAACATGCACATACATGTCTGTACAAGCGATATTTTCACACACCAGGAAAATAAGTGTTGCTAGCACTTATGCTGCTTCTTTATTTACGATTCCTTGTCCACGCTGCATCCTCCCACAATTGTTTCCCATTTCAATATCGTTTTCACTTGAAGTTGTAAAGAAGCTTTGAACCACATACTCCTTTGTTACTCCTTGCTAAGCAACGACCTCATAACCCATATATGAGGTCCTGTATGCGTGCCACTCTATATAAAGCGCACATAAATATAAGATGAAAATGAAATGAAAAAGTGTCTTATAACAAAATACATACAAACATATTACACATATACATACATACATGAAGCCGAAAATCGTTCGCTGTAGCCGTTAAGCCTAGTGCACAAAAAAGTATATAGAAATCAATATGTCGCCGAAATTTTCAATTTCCTTTTTGCGCCGACATTCACCGCAACTTACTGTTCTCATTCTATTATTTATTCTCTTTTAACATTGCTTTTTGTTGTTGTTCGTGATGTAGGGGCTCTTCTGGGCTTTGGCCTGCATTTGGCTCATATATCCCGATAAACGTATTCCGCATCTGAAGGGTGAACCTCTAAATGGCAACACATCGTATCCATTTCTGTACACGGACTATTTGCCAACGGAATTTCTGATCAATGGAATTGTGTCATCCCTGCTGACTGTGGTGAATGTGATTTGCATTTTTATCACCGCCATAATAGTTTTGAAAATTAAGGAAGTCTCGGCGCCATACACAGCGAGTCCGGACTTAAAGCGGTAAGTGGAAAACGAATTAAAAGAAAATAAAAGCGAATAAAATTGATAAAAACATTCTCGCTGTTTATTCTCAAAGTTCCTGAATATTTTTAGAATGTTTTTAATGAAAGCACTTAAGAGATGCTGCCATATGTATGAAGAAATACTACGATACTAGCATAATTTGCATAAGTTAGCAGGGAATTGATATGTTTTTATTAATGTTCTCGAAATTAGCGAGAAAATGGTTCAAAAGTTAAATTGTAGTAATTTTTATTCTTCTTTTATTTTATTTATTTTTTGTTTTTATTGGCACAGATAAACATGTAGTATGGTTTGAGATTTAATCTATCATATTAAAACTTAACTGGGAATTGAATAGGAATGTATGAAAGATACATGTGAAAGTTTATTTACCAACTTCTTTGTGAATTTTTCCAACGCTTGAAAAATGTCGATTCGCATTCTGTGATGTGATTGGTATTTCTTACCTACGAAAAATGAAGCTGTGAAAGTTCTGAAAATTGAGCGACCCAAAATTTCTCATTTTAGGCACCTGCGATTTGTGCGTATACCACTATACTTCTTCATAAGTTCAGTATAGTGTACTAACTCAAATTGATCGACATTGACAAAATTCGAGAAATGAACATCCAACGGCTTCGCTTTTTTAGTCATGTCATGAGAATGGATGATGATGCGTCAGCAAAAAAAGTATTTGAAACGGTAGTTGAAGGAAGAAGACGTATAGGTAGATCTTGTCTCCGGTAGAGTGATCAAGGAGAGACAACAATAACCACACTTAAGTACGAGACTGGAGAAGGCACGCTTGAAGCAGATTGACCTGAAGACAAATGCTGCGTCAGGCCGAAACCCAGTAGCGGGTAACGGGTAATATGACCATTTAAGTAAATTAGTTAACTAACTTATCATCCGTTAAGTTAAGATGCTTTTCAAAGTAGTGAATGTTAGAGAATTGTCCACCCAAACATAAACTTTTGTGTTACCCTATAGAAAAGTCTTCTATTCTTGATTACCGAAACATATCAACAAATTAATAAATCATAAAATTGAAAGTCCGGAAAATTTTGCGTGCAGAAAAACTAATACAAGGCCTGTTGTATGATCTGTGGTTTTTAGCTTCGTGTTTTAAACCAATTACCTGCCATATTCATATCTTCAATTTGAAGAAAATTCAAAGTGAAAAATTATCACCATTTTTTAAACAAGCCTTCAGTCCATTCAGCGGTTGTAAAACAATTCACATAACGCAATGGCTAGCCTTAGAATAAACATATGATGTCTTCATTGACAGATTTGTTTAACAGATATAATGCCTTCAAATCAGGATCACGCAATTAATAACCGTACATAACAAATAGATGCAGTTTCTCGTGTAAACAATATCGAAAATGCTTACTTGCAGCACTTAAGTTTGAAAGATAAGATGAACAAATATATTTTAATAAACCCAGCACAAAAAATTAGAAAACGAATTACCACTTCTGAGTGTCGAAAGCGACGAGAAGCAAAATAGCTCCTAAAATGTAGAAGAGCTAAAAGCGTTAAAACCAATGAAAGTAATGAAAACAATTCAACAACAAAAATGGCAACAAAACGGAACTCATGTGCCAGTTAACAGCACCGAAAAGGGACGAAATCAATAGCAAGTATATGCATTAGAGCAACAGCAAAAAAACGATATCCAAATCGATCAAACGTTATAACTAATAACACTTATTATGGAAAAGAAATTTTCTACAGGGTTATTGATATTTATAGGGTGCTATTAAGAAAACATTTTCAATAGAAAAAGTGATTACTATCTGCTTAGGGCCGTTATTACAGAGTATTGTTTTTTAGTTATGTGTGCACTATAAAGTGGGTGTCTTCATTAGCGTCTTTTGTAGAAGTTGTCAAAATCATGGTATGAAAGAAACGATCGAACCATTGCTATACCACAGTCTACTTTTCTCCATACTAACAGTAATTTAATTGAAAGATTTTTTCTTGGAGGAATTAGTTAGTCCGGGCAAGTGTGAAATAGAAAAGCTGTTTAGGTTTATGTATAGCACCAAGATTACCAAAGGCATGCTACAAGTGACTTATTGGACAATTTCTGAGGCACGCATGCTATCCTCATTAATAAAGAACATCTGGTCATAATGCAGATGTCTTTTCTTATTAATTTTTTTCTTTTTCGACCTATTTGTTTATATCAGATCATAGCGATGGTAAGTCTGGTTAGAAAAGAGGGGACCTTTTATTGAACAAATTTTTTTAAATATCAAAATCTACATATGTCAACGATTAAACAACTAACAAAATCTATTATTTGTCTCACTGTTTTACAAAGTTAGAACATCTTTAATCTGAGATTAAAGCGTTTTAACAGATTAAACAAACATCTGAGATGCCTGAAAAAGTGAAAAAGTTTCAACTAATATTACAAAGACGGCAGGCTTACACGAGTTCCCAAAAAATTTTTTTAGAGACTGTCAGATAAAGAAAACTTGCAATACCATGAATCCTAATTTAGGATACAGGATTACTATTGCATGAGCTGATAAACTTAAATATGTGTTAAAAAAGTAAAGAAAATGTAAAATTGTTATGATTTTAAGATCAATTTACATTAATAACTTTAAGTGAATTTTTCTTTATTCTTTTAGGGTAACATTTGCTCTAAGCTTAATGACTAAATATTTTTGTTTTGCTTAAAACACAATGTCGAAGTCGAAGCCGAAGAACTGTGAGACTACGAATTAATTTAATTTCTCTACCAACATTTTTATAAGCATTAAAATGAAATATTATTCGTGTAATTTCAGTTGAAAAAATGCTTAACAATATCCATATAATAACAGTATTAACTCAGCATGTATTAACGGCATGAATAAAGAACAGATAAAATATATAATAATTTCCGTTATTTCATACATTATTCTGTCTCTTTGAAATTAATTTATTGGCTTTATTAAGTTTAGTCTAGACGGTTAGCACTTTCACCTTGAGTGTTTTTTGCTCAGAGAGAAACATTTTACTTTCATATGATTTAATTTGACAATCATAGGACTATTCTGATTTATAGAATCAATTTATGTTCAAGCCAAACGTCAGTTTAAACTGCAAAAATATAAAAGTATCGTCAAGCAAATACATTAGAATGAGGCTTTCTTATGCTGAAACCAAACTATAGCACTTGCAGTAGAAAGACAATAGTTTTGCAGATGTTATCCTCCTTGGCCAAGACAAAAAATGTTTGTATTGTTAATATTATTAAAAACTTCCATTGTTATGTCTCTTTTGGCCAGAATGTTTTTGTTCAATTTCACATTCTTAAGCTTATTATTCTTAACACACGTTCATGCAGCAGGGATATCTATTCCATTCTGTCTGTATTCACTACGGAGCTAATTTCAGAAGCATACTTCTGGGAGCGGCATGAGAACAAAATATCGTAGAAGCTATTAAACAAGCAAGGGAAATGGAATTTTCTCCGAGAAATGAAAATAAAAATGACAGCGAAAGTGAAAGTAAGCTTTAAGTGAGTTTGTTTGAGAAATGCGTAATATATCACAATGCAGTATATTTTTATTTTATGTGACATATTTCAACATTTTTAACCTGTGACTTAAGCTGGCATATTTTGTGGTTACTTGGAACAGACAATTTCATTTTGTTTTTATGATTCAGTTTTGGTTAATATGATTTGAATTTATAAGGAGAAGCATTGCTTTGATAAATAATAATATAAGAGTCAATTGCTTACGCTTTTAATGAAAAAACAAAGTATGAATTACATTAATAGCCACAGTTACATATATAATACTTTTAAATTGAAGTCCTGAATGCGGTAGTTGATTTATTCAAGCAAATGCTTTAAAAAAACTATTAAACGTAATTAATCTCAATTACTTTGAGTTACTTCTGCGTATATTTTTGTACGACGAAATAGTATACTGCGACCTTTGAGATATATTACGCCCTCCCTGCAGATTCCTCTAAATTAACTGCATAGAATGAAGGCTATTGACAAACTAATAGATAACCATTAGTTCAAGATTCTTGACTTAGTTGAGGTAATAAAAACTATATTAAAGTATTGAACTGATTATCTTGTAATTACTGAAGAAACTTTCACTCTGATTATTATTAATACCCCATTATATTAAATAATTTTAAAAACAAGTTACATATATTGAAACATCAAAATATGTCACTTAACATTTCAAACTTTGTTTTGATAATATTTTATAAGTTGCAGCAACTAATAATCCTCAACCTATTAGCCCACTTGTAAATCTCTTCATTGTAATTTAAGAATTAATGATTACTTAAGTGAAAGATTGACTTGACTTCAGCTAAGGGATCAAGGTGCTATATAAAATTTTATCACGCATTATCTACAAAAATTTTTGAATGCTCATACAAGTAACAGATAATTGAAGGTGCCAAAAAAGTTTCTGGAAAAGCCATAACGTTAAAGATGCCGTAGTAAACATAAATCAGTTGTGGAAGGAAATACGAATAAAATCTCATAAAAAATTTTACAAGTGTTTATGGTCAAAATGAGTCGTCAAAATATTAAAGATGATGTTGTTAAAACGGCGATAGAGTTTGGTTTTGCTGATTATATTATAGATGATATCAGCGAAGTTTTAAGAAACGACAGAGAAGAGCTTACACATCGGAAACTGCTGAAACTAGATAATTCAGAAGACTTCGATCAGGAAAAGGCAAACATATCAGATAATAGTAGTAAATAAACATCCCAAATTCTGAAGAAGTGTTTTGATAGAATTGATTAAGTACTCAGTGACTTTAAAATTGCAGCTATGTAACCATATCAAAATAGATCGCAGTGCACTATCCCTTTTTTTTTCAATAATGTAACGATATGCGAAAAAGTTCTAAAAAGGCGACAAAAAAAGTCAAACAGCTAACATTTAAATATAAATGTCAGTAAATAAATATATATCAGATTTAGTTATAAAATATAAATTTATTTCTTTTTTTTTGAAGTCGTTATATACAGGTTTTTTTTTGTTATGGAACCAGCTTAATTATTTTCTGTACATATATATGGGATTACTTGTTTCATTTAACGGCATTTCGTTTTACGGTCAACTTTTTGTATATTTATTTTAAATATGCAAAACCTTATTCCTATAATGTACAGAGCTTAAGATATGGTGATTTTACTATTAGTCTGAAATGTATAGAGAGTACACCCAATAAATACTTATATTCTAAGAAATAAATTTATGAGCTGTATCCCGAGATATAGCTCTTTGAGATTTAAGAGAAAAACAAAAATTTCAGTTCAATTGAAGATAAACAAGTTAGAACGAATTCCATTTGTAAAAGAATGATCTATGGTCATACGTAGTCATACGTCGGCTTAATAAGGTAGTCATACGTAATTAAAGATGAAAGGATAAAAGGATAAACTGAATCCTTTATGAAATAGATCTGTGATGCATGAAGTGCAAAATTTATAACAAAGTCTGTTATAAATTGTTCGAAATTAACTAAGAATAATTCTTTTAAAAATAAATAAATAAATTCTTCTCTAGTAATTATAAAAGTATCAAATATCAAAAAGATTTAAGAAAAAATTCCATAGTAAATTGTATGAATTGATAGCTAGTCCTGTCATTTATTTATTGTGCATACTAAAAGTGTTGATTCTAGATAAAAGAATTCCTTAAGTACTATACTAGATTGACTGTTATTTTATATTTTCTTGATAATATATATTATTTAAAGTCATTATCATTAAAATTTAAATGAATCAAAGAACTTGAGACCAGAGAAAATCAAAAGTTTTTAATTTAGTACAGTTATATTCATCCTTTGAACTTTGGTTTTAAGATTCACTTTAATCAGATTTATGTGTAAAAATTCATTACTTAATACCATTTGAAATAACAGCTTTTAAAACAACATTAACGACACTTTTCTGCTGACAGACGAGACACCAAACTATGCCCATTTGCCATTTCTTTAATTACAACAACATAAGACAGGCGTCATGTGGAAATGCGTGAGCTGAAATCACATGACCGAGTCCTGCTCAAAATACAAAATACTGTATAAACAAACCATAATGAGAATCAAATAGAAACGTTCATGTAAGAAGGAAGTGACTTGTATGATACATTTGGAATTTTGTAAAAAACAGACTAAAAAAATTATTTCTTGAAATAATTTAATACTGTGTTCACTCTGCAAGATTAAGTTCATATCTTTAGTCTCCATCGATTTGATTTTTTATTATTAAAATTTTAGTCCAGACCACAAAATGGAATGGTTGTCATATAGGGCTTCGAGGTCCGTGTATTGTTTGTCTATACACTTGAGAAAAATGGCGACGATGTTGTTTATTTTGGAATCAAGGATTCCTCACATTCATTTATTACCCAACTACAATTAAGTTGACTCTCACATATTATAATAATTAAAGACAATATTAGATCAATTTCATTATTTCTCAAAATAGATGTTTAAGCTAGCTATTCTAGACATGTTATAAATAAATGCGTTTTCTATAATTCTTTACTGCCTAATATTATACATAAACCAATTCACCCTAAACACAAATGAACTTATTCCATACTCAAATCTGTTAGGCCAATTTTAATTATAATTATATAGGCCCCCACGGATTGATAATGCGTAACATAATATAATATAATATAATGCGCTGCTATTAGTTAACGACTCCAGCTTCTCCTATCTCTTCCTATCTAAATTTTTACTCTAATCTTCTGGAGGTACTCGTATGAATTTTTACAATCTTATAAAAGATTATAAGATATAAAAGAGTATATTGACTTGTATTTGTGCAAATCAATCGACATTGAACCAAATATTTAAGAAGAAACGGTGTACGAGGGTGACAGATGAACTGAGGGTGGCATTTTCAACTGAAATGAGTTGAACTTCCTTGTTTTATTCCTCATTGCACATATAATCGGCCGAATCATATTATGACCGATGACCTCCATACTTTGTCTTAACCGAGAAAAGTGATTACAAAAAGCGGTAATAATAATAATATAATTATAATAATCATATGAATACATCCTTACAAAATATGACAACTTTTTGGGATACTTAAAAATATAATCTCAATTTGAACGAGATTTAGTTGACATAGTAAATCTGCAATTTAACAACTAAATCAAAGCTTAAGTTTTGGCAGCTGCTTTGACGTATCTTAAGGTGAGATTTAAAGTGACTTTTATTTTATATTAATTAATAACAAATCTTTCTACTTGTTTTTCGCCAAAAAATTATTGCACATTTTGTGCATTAGTGTTATAAAATGACTTTAATTTTGTTGCCAATAAAACACAAATTGCAGTAGGTATTTCTTCTTTAAATCAAAAAGAGCCAATACGAATGTGTAATATTTAGTTTAGATTATTAGAGAAATGTCTATACTAATAATAAACTTAAGTCTATCAAAAAAATGTGTAGAAAAATGCATAAGACAATTGCTGATTGAACATTCTAATTTCTCTAAGATAAGGGAGTAAGTACGAGCTCATACTTGAACACTAGGCGTTTGTGAAAAGACCGGCAGTAAGAGCAGAACTGTTGGTTTTTTACCTGCTTTTCTGTCTATATTTGATAATGCAGTCCATTTATTATAAATAAGGTAGTAAATAGATAAGGTAGTACTTTGTAGTGGTGGAAAAGCTAAAAGTAGGAATAAATGTTTTCCAGTGAGCCTATTGAGCAAAATTAGAATTAATTTTAAAACCAAAATGGATGAAGATAAACTTGGTAATGGAGGCAAAGCCATTGGTAAAATTAAATTATATTGAACTATAAACTATATGGTACTTGGAATATAAACTGTATTGAACTGCAAGCAGTTGCACTGCGTTCCTAAAAAGAAAACTAATACATTAAGAAGGTTTGTCTTACATTTTCACAAAATATTTCAATTAAAGTAATGTTGGATTATATATTCAAATAATTTTTATGTATTTTGAAAGTATGAACGCACAAACGTCCTTATAAACGTTTAATATATATTTTATGGAATACTTATCATTTTCTTTTAATTTAATATCTTTCTAAGAAACTGAAGAGTAAATTCTTTGAAAGTTTGCAACTCTTTCGTGAACGTTTTTCGGTAATTGTATGCTACTTAATATATGGAGAAAGTTTTCACATTATCATACGATAGATTGAATTATTGCGAAATGTTGCTCTCAAAGTTCCTCCCGTGCCCACCTTGTTTATGTATAATTTCTAAGTGGTTTCTTATCGCACAATAGGAATAAATTTCAAATTTATTTGGCAAATTTTCATGCAAATTGTTGATTTTTCCCTCTTGCAGATTCTGGGAAACTGATCTACGTACAGTACGCAAGACAAATCGTTCCACGTTGCGAGGGAGCCGAGACACCCACAGACAGAAACTATCAACGTAAGTATAGTTTAATATGTGCCAACTTAGGCAGCAGCAATAGCTCCAACCCTGACCTCAAATGCGAACTCCATTTGGCCTCCCACAACTGTCACATCACTTATGAGAAATCAGCTTTGCTCCTTGCTTTGTGGCAAACCGTGCCACAGACCGTGAAATTTTCTGCAAATAACAAACCCAACGGCGGAAGCGACATGTGCTGTGTCTGCTTCCCCACCTCATGCCTGCTACCTGCTTTACTATTTCGTATCATGTATGCGTCGTGCAATTTATGCGTCGCAGCTGCTACCCACAAGCGGCGTATACGCTGCTTGCGGCATTTTATAGATGCCGCCAATATTTTGCCGCCCAATTTCATTCTTGCTTTCTTGTCTACATTTTCATTTTCAATTTCATTTTCATTTCATTTCTTTTCTTTACATTTATATTGTTAGTATTGTTTTATTTTAATTTTTTATTGCATTGCTTTTGTTTATTATTTGTGCACAATTGTTTTCTTGTTTTGTCTTTCCCCTAGGTTGTTTCGTTTTTAGTTGTACTTTCATTTTCTTTTCTGATTGTTTATTGTTGCTGCTTGCTACTGTAATTGAGTAGTGTGTGTGCGAAAGCCCCAGCAGCAGCTCATAACTTACACATACACTTTCACGTACAATTGCGCATATTAACATATTCAATTCCCTTTAGCCGAAAGCATTTTTTGCTGGGTGCAACTCATAAAAAACACAATTTACAAATGTAAATATTTGTGCTGCGACTCCTGTACACCCAATGCATGCACACACATACACACATACACTGCTGAAGGGTTCCTGTGTGCTAGTGTAATTACGCTGATGTCCCTTAAAGAAAAGAGTACGCTGATTTCGCATGCAGAAAAAATTTAAGTACTTGCAGCAAAGATATTGCTGCCTGAAATTTATTCTGATAATGTCCTGAAAGGAACTGATCGATGCTGTACTCAACTCGAAGTTTCCGAACTTCATTAAAACTTTTTTGTACAAATTATTGCTGTACGTTCCAGTACGGATGCAAATGGTGGTCGACAATATAATTGCCGTGAAAAACGGAATTAATGCGCGTTGCATGCAATATATAATACGACATATTATTGCGACATATTATCCGCATTAAAATGTTATTTTAAGAGTTGTTCCGTGATAGAAAACGAGTAAGAACCTTTAACTTATCCCACTGCCTTCATATAAATTTTTGATCGCGTTGCTTTTGCAAAAAAGTAAATGCATCCTTGAAAGTAATGTAAAGTTAGATTAGATTATACCGCGATCCATTTAGGACTATTGGTACATTGTGTTGCCGTACAAAAAGTTCTGAGGTATAACAACCATATTAAACCTCTGGCAATGCTAAAAAGCTTTTTAAAAGGAAGTACTGGACTTGACCAAGATATTAAAAAAAGGAAGCTCTTCCTCTCTGTGCGATGGGCAGTAACAAAGCAGATGTGAGTCACTTTCATCGTCTTTTATTGAGACTCAATCCTCTGGTATGTTTTACTAACCGGCTGTGATCCGTGAGTATTTGATGATATGAGGACGTCAATGAGAGGTATGAAGAATGAAAATTAACATTTGGAATAATATATTTAACTTTATAGTGTTATATTTAAAAGTTGTTTAATAACAAAAATGCAACAATGTTAATAAAGATAAAATGTTGGTCTAAGTTGTCACGTATTGACATCAAGTAATTCTATTTTTAGTGCAGGAATAAATATTGGTCAGTGATTTCAAAAGCAAAGCAATCTGATGACGCTTACTCTTTGGATCAATATGTCAAAAAATACGTAATTTAGTTTAAGTGCTTAGACCATCTAAAAATTCCGAATTAAACGATAAAATCATCAGATAAACTTTCGCATCAAACTTCGTAAGTCAGTTGTTCTGACGGCGTACAACTAGCAAGGACGAAATTACAAATTTCCGTACACGCCGTACGCAGTATTTCGGGGGTCCGCCACATAAATGAAGGCTGTTCACAGGCGAAAAACACATCGCCGAACTAGCACGCATATTTTTTGTTGTTTTTTAGTGGGCAGTAGAAAATTTTTATGGTTTCAATGGCAAGTTATTTTTCTTATTTCCTGACCACTTAACTATAAAGGTTCAATAATGTTGTTTCTTTAGTTTTTTAGTTGTGTGGTTTTTTATTTAATGTGGTTTACTGGGATTGTGTGCCTAAGCACTTAAGTGGGCTTCACTTGATGAGTTAGCCTTGACTCAAGAAACACTTTATTAGGATTTAATGTAAGTCTGATGCAGCTTTTTATGCCCTCAGAAATGTTTGCTTTGATTTTATTGTGGCAATTTACTTTCTGTCACGCAGCATTAATTTAACCGCAAAAGTTAAAGATACAAGATAAATTTTACATAAAATATTTGTGATATTGGAAACAAGGGGAAAATCAAATAAAATAGTAAATAAGAATATAGAACTGATGCAAATAGGTAAAAAAAAAAGAATTGTTTTGCATTACACCTACGTCAGTTGATTCAGAAAAGTAAAAAGCATATAAAGAATATTTTACAATATATATAGTTTGTTACTTATAAGTGAATTGAATAATAATGTCTAATAAGAACTATGAGATATGGAATAGTAATTACAACTTCTTTTCATATTAAGTATTCAATATAATAACTATTTGGCTGAGAACTCTTATTCAAAAGTAAAATATTGTGTGCGTTTATTTGCTTTACTTAATTACTTGTCCTTTATAGACTTGAAGGATCATTAACTGCATCCAGTAGTTCCCGTTAGCGAATCCAGTAAGTTACTTTCTGTTGCCAGGTGTTAGCATTTTCAAAATTTTATTTATTTTGAGACAAAATCAATTCATAGCTTGCAGTATTAATCAGTTTTTATCTCAATATACTACATATTGTAAATTGAACCATGTAGCTTCCGGAAAAAATCAATGTATTATTCATAAGCAATATTTAATTGATTCATATGACAGCAACATATATCTCTTTCACTCGATTACAAGTGTTAGCATCTATGATGATCTGCTAGCTACTACAGCTCTATAATAAATCTATTTTGATTTTTAATAAAAATGTTTTCTCAACAAAAGTAAGACTGGAATTACACCTATAAGTCTTTTGAGATGCACGAAGAAGCAACCAACATTTTCAAGACGTTTTGATCATCTCAAAGTTAAATACCGAATTTTCCGCAAAGTATTGCTTAAGCTTAGTTTCGATAAGAGTTCCGCTTAATATATGTACTTACGTACGTCCTTATTATGCTTGGTCCTTAAAGTTGGAACAGCACTTAAGCGCTTTCGGTTCTAAAAGTCGAAGAAGTTTTCCTAACTTTTGTGGAGTGCATTCTACTTAATTAATTTAAAAATGTTGAATTTGTGATTTATTCTTAAGGAAACAAACAAAACAAAAAACAATCACATTATTTAACTAAAAGCTGACGTAGATTGAGGAGAAGCTGGAGCGGAAGTGAAAAAGGCAGCAATGATTTTAGTGGCTAATTAATGCGAAATGAAATCTGCAGTTTCTTTTAGTTTATTTTGAACTGTCTCCATCTTTTGCTCTGTCTGCATCCATAAAGGACTTAAAGAGGAAAGTAATTAATGGTAATCTACAGCCCAAACGAGATGAGAGATGCAAATAGGAAGTCCATTTAAATTATTAAAAGCAAAAGGGAATTAAAGCAAGTATAATATTTTAAGTATACACAAAAATTTATATTCAAATCTCAGAGAAGACATTGCAAAGTACTTGTAAAAAAATAAAATAACTCATAACAGTTGTGCTTCAATTGCCATTTTAATTTTTCGCTTAACTGCTTTTCCATTTTTATGTGACATTCTGCGTGTATGTTTCCAAAAATGAAAACAAAAATAAACACACTCGCTTTTCCTTCGAAAATATTCAAAATTTTCATTTAATTTCGATTTATTTTATTTTCCATAATATCACCACAACAAAAACGGAATAATAATCCGAATTCGACACAATCAAAAAACTCCGAAAGCAGTGCCTACAAAGGATTGGAAGAGCCGCGAAACAATGAATTGAATACAGTTTTAGAGCAAGCACTTAAGGAAGCTGAGGACGACGTTACATTCAAAAAGGTCAAGCGGATGAGTTATTCCAGTAACGCTGCTGGTGAAGTAAGTACAGAAGTTAATATTAGGGTACTTGACATGGGCGGAACATATTCATTTCGTTGTGAATTACCAGCTTTTAGTTTCTTTCAACATATATTTGTTTTTTTTATTCTAGTACTTTAATACTTTTATTGTTAGTTACAGAAGGTGCAGGAGGTCATGCTCCTGCATAACATAGGACGAAAAAAGGTTAAGTTGAGTGGCATTGGGATATTGTAATAAGATACTAAAGCGAACATCTGACAACAAAACAGATTCAAATTGAAAGAATTCGAGTGATTCGTATTCCTCTTCTTCAGCTAAGTCCTTGAACAAAGTAAGAGAAAGAGTTAATTTAAACTTCGGCGAGACTAAAAAACCGTTGCCATAGTTATTGTATACCAGTCAAAAGCATTATTATCAGTTATATATAATATGACTCTTAATTTTAATGGGAAGTTAACTACATGAACAAAGATAAAGCTCACCACATAAGAAATTGTAAACTAGACAAATTTATGAAATCCACGCGACATATATTTAATAATTTTAGACTATTTGACAATTAATATTGACGTTGAAAATGTTACGTCTCACCAGTTTAGTTATAAATTGCGATCCTATGGAGTTGCTACTAATAAGCACCCTTAATTCTACATATGGATGCACTCATTTAATCAACACTGGGAGAGGCTGTCATTCTGTAAAACCCATTTTTCTTTTGTCGATTGATGTTTTCAAAGCAGAGCTAAAAAGTTTTTGTTTTTGAGTAGTTTAGGTGCTTTGTCCTTTGTGTACTTGGAAATTGTTTTAATATGTCAATTTCGTTTATTCGGTAAAAAAATAAATTTATAACTATAATAAACTAGAGAAAATTTTAGAAAAAATGCAAAATAAAATACCTAATTTTTTTTTTAACGATTCTTATAATATAGACAGAAATCGTGTTAATATTCCACCTAGTACAAATAACAAATAAGACGTACTAATCAGCAATTTTATTGGAATATGTTATTTATTGTAAAAACGAAGCTAATTTGCTTAGGTCTGCCACTGTTTTTCTTTCTAGCCATGTAGATAGTGCAACCGCCTAGAAAAGACTGGATTCTGTAACGTTGCAAGTGTTTTCAAACGCTGTTTGTGACGACATGGCATACCTTTTAGCCACGGCGTCGACTGTTAACATCCCAAAGTCACGGTGGAGATCACTTAGTACTTTATTTTGAAAGCCTTAGATAGTTGCAATATGTTTTTTGCCAGTACAACCCCAGAATTGCATGCCATAAGTTCAAGCCGGCTTAAGAATTTGTATATACTATTGTTTTAGTTTGTTATAGATTGCTATTTTAGAGTGCCTGCCGATGAGGTGGTGAAATTTGTTGAGTTTTATGTCAAGCTCCATTCGTTTTTTCCTAACATGCGGTTTTAAGTGCAGATATTCAGTTTCGTTGTCATGTGGAATTTTAGTGTCACACGCGCCATCTACTTCGATACTTATACACAACGCGTACTCATAGAGAGCGCTTCTAGTCATAGTGTCAAAAGCAGCTTTCAAATTGACAAATAAGTTATGTGTATCGATTTGTTTTTTTTTGAGTCTTCTCCAGAATTTGATGCACTGTGAATATCTGGTCCAGGGTGGAATGCTAGATCTCAAGCCTTACTAATAAGGTCCAATCAGTTTGTTGACGATCAGCTTCAATCTTTCGCATAGTATGTTTGTACGATACGATAGTTATTGCAGTTTGCAGGATTACCTTTTTGTGGATTAGGCAAAGCACGCTTAAAGTCCAATCGTTGGGCATGCATTCATCAGACTATATCTTACGAATCAGCTGCAGCATGGATTTTAACAGCCTTTCGCCACCAGCTCTAAACAGCTTAGCCGGTAAACCATTGCACTTGCAGCTTTGTTGTTTTTGAGCCGCGTTATAGTTGTTTTAACTTAATTATGGTTTATTTTTTCGTCAATGATTGCAAATTTTTATTACTACTACCTTCCATTACGTGGGTTCGAGAAGTGATCCCTCCAAATGTGAAGCATGCTTGGGACATCTATCACCAGATTACCATTTTCATCTTTGTAGAAATTAACTCCGGATTTATAACCATTTTTCAGCCATTAATTTATTGATAGATTTTTCAAGCCATGCTTCGTACTCACATCTTTCTGCTTTTTCCTTTTTTTGGCTGAAAAGAATTTTATCTTCTTTTCTGCTGATATCGTTCTTTAGCAGCGCGCGCCGCAAGTGGTGGCACTCTTGGTCATACCAGCTGTATCTTTGTGAACGATGATAGCCGGTACGCATGGAGTCGGAAATGTGGTTCTACTGCGCGCGTTTATCGGTTCCTTCAAATACACTTTTTAGATGTTAGGAGAGTCAAGTTGCGGAATCGTTAGCTGTACCTTTTTCATCGCACGTAAACGTGTCTGTGTTTTGGATGCAAAAAGATAATGATCCGATTAGAGGAGTTAGCTCCTTGAATATTACACATATCCAAGGCACTGGAAACATGACTTCTGTCAATCACAACACGATCAATTTGAGATCTTGTGTTTTAATCAGGTGACAGCTATGTTACTGGTACTACTAATTACCATGTTTCTAGCTGCGGCAAAATCAATCAGCCTTGTTCCCTTATCAGAAGTTTTCTATGAAGGCTGAAATTTCTGACAGTAGCACCAATGATACCTTCTCTACACATCTTTGCGTTGAAGTCTTTTACAACGATTTTGATATCATGATGGGGACAGTATTCATACTCGTATGCGTGTTCAAGCTCTTCATAGAAGGTTCCTCGGTGTCGTCATTCTTATCTTCCGTCGGGGCATGTGCACAAATTAGAGTAATATAGAGTAATGGAAAGCCTGTCGTTTATTGATGAAAATGTTCAGATCAACATTGGTGAAAAATTCATTCACTTCTAATCATGTTTCATATATTAACAAACATTCTACAACCTATCATGCGAAAATATTTTCGGAATTACAGAAAAACTTAGTATTATGAAATGCAAGAACTTAAAGCACTATCGTGCTGTAATATAGCACTTATTTATTCGTATTGTGTGTGAGATTTTTCTCACAAATGCGATTTCCTCAATGATTGGGTAGAATATATTTTGCGTTTGTGAAAGTACTGTTATGATTTCAAGAACAATTTTGAGGAAAAGAGAGGAAAACAAAATCACATATTAGATGATTCGAAATTATCCAATACAAAAGAAAATGATTTTGCTTAGATCTTACGAATGAACTACATTTTTTTTGAAATAATAGCTTTTTGAAACCTATTTACTGCTTAAGTTCGTCATGTAAAAAGTTAGTTATTGGAAGGTGCATCTACTGATATATCTTCATTCGTATGAAGCTGACGATTTGATGTATTCTATTTTCAATATTCTATATTAAAATACCTGAGGTTTGTACCCTAAAAAAGCATTCAACGAAGAAGATATTTTTTGTTTTTTTTGTTTTTAATATAAATATTTATTTGTCTTCCAAAAGAATAAGACAAACTTTTCCTAAAAGAATGATTTTTCTTTTTGAAAAATTTTTTCTGTTATCGGTCTCCGAAGTGAGCTATTTGCAGCTTTTAAAGTTTGCAAGTGAATTTTTGCACATTGTCAATAGATACCAGAGTGCACATTGTCAGTGACTCCGTTACTACAATGGGTGATATTATTCCATGCAGTAACTAATACATTCCTAATTTCAATAAACCTACTAAATTAGATAAATTAGATAGCCTATGTTTTTATTCTTAAAAATGTCACACGATTTTGATGGTACGTAGTTGAAGTGAACAAGGAGAGTGATACATGGAGTTGTTATAATATGCATTTACGGCAAATATTTTTTCTAAGAAGTTATGTTTACCATACATGCATTGATTACTTTTAATGAATGTAATATATTTGTATTTTTCCTTGTAGAATTAATACATTAAATATCTGGAAATATGTTTATTTTTCTGCGAAAGTAGATTTGTATTTTGAGCATCATTGGTCAGACAATATAGCTATGTCATGTTCCATTCATAAATAAAACGTATAAAAGGATGGATCATCGACTGACGCCATCATTGACTTTGATAGCGAAAATGGCTGTCAGCATTTAGCACATATACATATGTGTATTGCTACTCATACATACATACCTATGTGTGTATGTTGTGCTTGTAATTATAGGTACTTCATAATATAAATTTAAGGTTGATGGTAATGATAAACTTCAACTCATTTCAATGATTGTCAATAGTATACGACGATTAATCCGGAACTTCACAATTCACTGACTCAGTTTTTTATTACGAGTAACTAAATTGTACATTTTCATCTCATTACTTCTCGTTTTTTTTTTAGATTTTGAGCCAATTTCCGGTGACATATTCTTTTTTCCTGATGATGCGAGGCAAAGCCTATAGTCGACTTTTACAATCGGATATTCACAATTTAACTTCAATGACTTCCGAAGTTCATTTTTTGTTGACCCAGCGCCGGTTTGCTCTTTCTATTTTTTCTTATTTTCTGAAAGTTTTTTGGCTCAGGTTGCAATTTGTGTCCGGTGGCTCTGATTTCACGAGAGTGTTTCTTCGTGCAGCCGCAATACTTATAAATCTCAATGAATTGTCCATTTTAACCCAGTAATTCACTACTCCCATGCTTTGTTTATTTTTCACATTTTCTTCAAATTTTTTGTGAACTTCTCATTTCGGCGTCTTAGTATGACCTTTGAAAAAGTGTTTGGCAAATTGATTTATATCTGCTTCAGTGCTTCACTGTTTCACTGCTTGACTGCATCAGTGTTCGACTAGTCAGCGGGAGGAAGTTTCACTGGATTAAGTACTTGTGGCACAGTATGGAAGACAAGTGGGGTAAATAAAAAGAAAATATACGGAAAAAAAACAAAGACGCATGCACAAGATGAGAGCAAACGCGAATTAAAGTAAAACGTAGAATTGGAGAATAATGATTGAGGTTAGTTTTCCACATCTTCCGGGATTTGTTTAATTGCGGGTAATTAACTTTAAACGTCCGACGTTGTATGCTTGACAGCAGTCGCAACAGTAGCAACGATGGCAGCAGCAAGACGCTACTCATTGCATTCCACTTAGTAGAAAAATTATTAATTGAGTTTTTGTTTTTGTTTGCATTAAATCCTCCTGTGAAAGAAGAGGACGAGAAGAGAAGGAGAAAGAAAGGTCCAAACAAAAATTTCTAAGTGCAGACTTTGTAGTAGATGAAGCATTAAGCTAAGTAGTGCAAATTAATATATTAAGCAAGTAGGGAAAAATCCAAAACTATTTATGTACAAGAAACAAATTGAAGTAAGAAATAAATAAGCTATAATCTAAGAACTTGGTAATTAGGTAAGTTTTAACACAGTTAATGAGATACTGACTTTATTTTATAAAAAGATTTTCTTTGATTGTAGTATTTAATAGATTCCGAGCTACGTTAAAATTGTGATTTTTTTAATATAAATAAATCAAAGTATTAAAATAATAAAATTTTTGCGAACATTAAAAAACAAACTGAAACATGCGAGCTTCATAGGACTGTCAATGAAAATATACGTACATATAGTGAGAGTTGGAGGCATCGCGATTAATTGGGAGGACAGCATTAAATGCTTGGGAATCACGTTTGATAAGCGGTTCACTTGGCACAAGCACATACAAGTCAAAAGAAATAGTTGCGCAAAAACACTGCACTGCTTACAATCAGTTTTAAAAAAAAACAACCTTAGCGGCAAAAACAGAAAGCTTCTCTATAATCAGATAATTAGACCAGCACTACTTTATATGTGTGTCGCGTATAGCAAAGCAGCCTACTCTACTATCCAAAAGCTACAAGTTGTTCAAAGTTAGGCTATCCAAAGGCTCTTCAAAGTGCCACAGTACATCCGCACGAATGACATGCTAAGAGACCTTAGAATAGATCCGGTCAGACAGATCGATACATAAGGAACAGAGCTCTGAAGTTATTTGCGAAAACCGACAGGATGCCCTACTTAGTACTATCTAATCTCAGAGTAATCACTAACCGCACGGGGCGGTACACAGATCAATCATTGAATAATCACGGCGATATGATGAATACTCAAATTAATCAGTGAGATGGGTGGGATTCTGCAGAAACCCCCCAGCCATCATCAAACCCCGGAAAAGATTCAACATAACATAACATAACTTAACTTTAAATCATGCAATGTGGTTTATTTATTGTCAGTTTTCATTTTTCGTCTGTAACTGTATCCTTTTCAACAGCCAGGGCCAGTTCACTTAATCTTAACCAAGAAAAATTGCTGTTGCAATCAGTGTGTTTTTTAGATAACTTTTACACGGAACAACATAGTATACATGTTGCTCGCTGCTTAAACAACTTCAGATTAGTGCTGCCAGATTAGATATAGACTAGTAAATTATAATATGCTGATATGATTAAATCTTAGGTACAATAATATTGCAACTTGTATTAGTAAGCGAGGAATCGCTTACTGATACAGACAAATCAACAGCTTGACGATATTATGATGAAATGATGAAATAATGATGAAATCAGTTTTTCAGAATAACAACACTATTCATAATTACCCGAAAGGCGTTGTATATTTACATCGAGAGCTTTATTAAATAGTTGTCTTCATATGAAGATAAATCCCATAGTTTTCAGCATTCATGAATAGTCGAATTGACAGGAATTGAGTTACTGGTCTATGAAAAACGATTTCTGATTTTACCACAGAATTTAAGGAAAATAATCACTTTTTTAACCTATTTTAATACAAGTTTTCAGAACTCTTTGGAATTGAAAAGATCTAGATGAAAATATCGATCAATCATTTTATTCTATAGTATGGAGCAATTATGTGATGATAGTTCGCCCACAACCCAGTGGACCAGAAACCAAAAAAAATTCTTATTGGCAGAACTATATGGGTGACTGAAAAGTAAAAAAAAAGCAAAGAAGCTGATGCTGTTGTTAGGTATGTTAGATAACGTTACCGTTTTGAAAAAGTGGGTATCTCTAAAAAGGTAAAATTTAGTTCTGCAGGTGTCATATACCTGTGGTGACACTTTTTCAAATTATTTAACTTTGGTTTGAACCACAAAAACAACATTACAACATGTAGTTCCCAATTGATATTAGGAATTCGCAAACAGGCGAAATTTAGGTCTTTAGTCAAACATCTAATTGTCTTTGATGTCGGTTGTAGCATTAACGACTTACCTTGATCGCAGGATTTCGCTTTGTTAAAAGTCAGTTGCCTGTTAATTCGCATTTCTATTTCTACTTCAGTAGTGAAATCAGAAATAAACAAGTGGTGCTTTTAACCATATTAGAGATTTTTATTATCTTTAATTGTGAAACGGGTAAACTTACAGGTAAAATTATTAATAGTGGGCTACTATCACTACATCATGGTATTATTAACACACATATCAGTATAGTGTAAAGATAAAAGCCACATCGAACGAAAGTATTGATTGCAGTCATTGTACCCGCGTATCTTTAAATTTTAATGACAACTCATCTCTACCTTAACTAGTCAGGCAGCCGAAGCTGTGGATCCTGACACCCGTGGCACCAGATTCACACCTCTAGCCAACTGCCTCTAGTAAAAGATACTACCATTTATACTTCAAATAGTCCCGGGTGAGGCCTATTTCATTTTAGTCGCCTCTTATAACAGGTATGCCTGACTTCGAAAAGACTCTAACCTCTTTCCCGCACGGTTACTAGATAAGTTAAATTTTTTTATTGTGATATTTATACTTGATAGTTGCGTTCTTTTATTAATTATTTTAATTTACATCTAATATGTATCATATTCATAACTGGTTATGATTGAGTCTCAGTGAAATTTCAAAAACTTTTTTGATTGGTGAAATCTAAGGATCTCAGTTTCATATAAATATATATGCAAGTGGAAGCCAATTATACGGAAATACAGAAGATGTAAGTAACTATGTTGCGTAAATTTCATTTTATACCAACAGACCTGCACTATGTACCAATTTTTATTTGAGTTCATCATATTCCATCAGCACTCAGGAAACTCAACTTCAAAACTCTTAAAAGCTTGTAACTTATATTTAATTAAATGTTGTTTTCTCACCAAATGAGGTTCACAGTTAAAAAAACTACCAAAACAAAATTATGTTTCTGTTTCTTCAATTTGTTAAATATTTGTGTATGTTTTCCAAAAATAATACCAAAAGCGGTACAAAAAAGTTGTTGCTTGAGTCGAGCTACTAAAACTCAATTAACCCCATTTTGGGTGTAGCCGTTTCAGTTGAACCAAAACCAAGTAAAAAATGAAAACTTCGAGCGTAAGCCAAAGAAAAAGTTTCGACGAGCGGACATGGGGGCAGGAGTACACAACCGTAATTTTTCACTTTAACCGCATTGATACTCAATTACGTTAAGCAACACCACTAGCACGCCTCAGTTGGCTCCTGTCGATTCCTGTCATTTGCTGGTGTCAATGCAACTTTCGCCTTCTTTTACTTTTTTCCTGCCACTTCTTTGATGGTTTGTGACGGGTCGCCTAGGAGTATAGGTAATGGAGAGATGCCGTACTGGTGTAATAGCGTAATGGAGTATGGTTTGTATATGTTGTTATACATGAAAATGAAAAAGTTCTTGCTGAGCTCCGGATGGAGAAAATAGGGAAACGGAAGCACTTTGCAACGGAAATGAAACATCAATTAAAATTATCGGCGTAGTGGGCGGTAGAGGTGCTCGAATCTGGGAGCAAACCACAGCGCAGACACTACGTTGCATTAATGAAATTAACCAAATTTAATTGAATGAGATTGAATTGAGTTGCATTGCATTTAATTGTGAAATAATTAAGAAATAATTGATACAAGAAGTTCTGTAATAACAAACGAAACTCAAGTGGAAGTTAATGAAAAACAATTGCAAGTAGGAGTGTCCAATCGTTGTAAACGAGCGGACTGACAGATTGACCAACGCGACGGAGTGTTGTGCAGATAATAAATTTCTTGAAGTTTATTATTTAAATAATTTTATGTTTTGAAGCATTTAATTAATTTTGTTGTTTGCATTGACTTTTGCTTTTGTTATTATTTTCATTACAGCTGACACAACGTTTAGCGAAAATTGCAGGACTTAGTAAACGTGACGCACCGGATACGGCAACTACGGCATTTGGAAGTTACCCTGGTAGTCGCATAAATTCAATAAGAAACTCCAGAATGAATGTTGACTTGAAGGCATTGGACAAACTGATTAGTAACTTGTTGGAGAAGCACACTGCAACTAGTAGTGCCGGCGCAAATCGAAAATCATCAATGAAGCTAAATCGTTGGCATCCCACATCGCGTTCAGCGCACACATTTAACATAACCGAAGGCAATGCAAGCACTTACACTTTAATGCCAGAGAAAGTTAATAGCGGAAACGTTGGGGGTGGGGCTGGCAGTAGTGCCACCGGTAGCAGTGGCACAACTCCTGTTACTCAACATGCATCGGTTATGCCTACCATAATGGAATCCAACACAAGTGCTAATGTTAACACGGATGCAGCTGAAACACCTCAAAGGCAACAAACACCAGTGGTGCGCAACGTTCTACAATCCGTTGCTAATGTGCCGCAGCGTTTTAGTCAAAGCCTTGGCATTACTACGCCCGGCGTTGAGGACGAAGAAAATCTGAATCTAATACAAAATTACATTGCATAATTGAGCTTATTCAGTTATCGCACTTGAGATCAGACATTTTTTTTTTGTTCTATTGTTGTTGTTGTTAAACTCTATAATTAATATTAAATTGCACTTTTTACTTAATTGTTGTGAAAATCTTTACATGTTATATTTATTAATTATATTTGCTGAAGATACTAATTATCTAGTTAATAAATGTTGGTGTAAAACATACGATTCATTCAATGCAACGAGTACTTCACAATATATATAGATTCTATAGTTACTGTAAACAGTTATCTGTAGATAAGCTGGAACATCACCATGTGACAGCAATTAGAAGAATTATGCTTCTTACGTGTCAGCATAACATGAGACGTGGGGTCTGAGAAAAAAGGAAAGAAAAAACTACTCAAATATGTATATAACTTGTCATGAGTTATTTATCATAGACCGTACCGTAGCCAAGGAGATTATGTCGACAATGAAGCATAGGAATTCAAAGGACAGTTATGAAATATAAGGATGAGTGGGTGCAGCTAAAAATTTAATGAGAGTTTTAAAACTAAATGTAATAATAATAATCCGCAATATCCCATACGGAAAGAAGCTGACTGCCATATGTCACTAGAAATTTACATGAAAATCATAACTAAGAAGGAAATATTTCTTAGAGATATTGTATCTTTAGTTTAGGTCGGTGAGAAAAATTAATGTTACACAGTGACATATTGGCATATTTCTGTAATATTTGCGTGATAAAGACACACGTGCACTATGCATAAACTGTTTTTAAGATAAAATGTTTTCTTGGAATTTCTTTAGTTACCATATCTCAATCTGAGTTTTCATTTATCATTTTCTAGACTTCGTTAGTTGGATTTGAATATATTTGCTAGATATAATTGCCTGTGTCAATGAGAATCATTATACAGTAAAAGCTGTCTTAAGTGAACACCGACCATACAAGTATTTGTGTCCGGTTATTAACTATGCTTTAACGTAGAAATATATAACTGGGACTAGCAACATTTCACGGTAAAGATAAATATTTTTTTTTATAAGGACATCCGTTTAACAGAGCTTTTGTGGTATGTATTTCGATACAGTCTTTGTGAAATTTACAGAGACTTTCACTGTTTATTTTTTATTAAGATGACTTTTAAGTGCTTAGATCAAAATCACGTTTCACCATCGATAAAGTTAAATATTGTGAGAGCGCTGGTAAATGGACGCTTCATAAATATATACATCTCCAATTTGGCTAGTCTACTAGTTCCATCTATAAAACAAAATAAGTAATTCCAAATAAGCACTGACAGCTCTGTTGATCTGACAGTAATGCTGCTCCATCGATGTTGTTCCATCGATATATGCTTAAGTCCGCTTATAATGAGTCATAATCTTTTGGTAAAACATAAACAATATTTCATTGAAACTTGTCATAAAATTGATTTGCTGTCATGTAATTGCCTGGCAAGTAAGTGAAGCTTAGAAACATAAAATTTTTTTAGGAAAATTTCTTTCACATTCTTATCGCAGTTTCGATATGCATAGTTAAAGGTTATTTCATTATTTTTTTCCTCAATGGTTTGATATCTACTTTAGAATAACGAACAAAGCTGCTAACGTGCTTTTTATTCATAACTCCACCACGTGCTGACTTTAAGGAGAAGTAAACCCATCACATTAAATAAATTATTATTTCGTATGCGCCATTGCCGGTGCAAATTGAGTCGATTATCGCAAAAATAAAATATGGAAGTCGTTTGCGGAGAAGCATCTTGCTTGAACATCTCTGCAAGCTGAGTATCCTTAAGAGTTCCCCCAATGCCAACATTATTCTCACCATAACATAAATTATAATTCCTCAATTAGCAGTCAAAATTTCAGCAATTCACTCGACCACAAAATTTAAATTAAAATAAATCACCAAAAAATCTTTTTGAACATAAAATGAAGTAATCGCTGAGCTAAAAGTTAAGGAAGCGGTGAGAATTCGAAAAAAATCGCAGCATACCGAATGGCGTTGAAGGAGAAGTGAGATGATGTGAAATTTAACGCCAACTTGGAGTCAAGACAACAAAAAGTATGTTCACGGTCTCGGGCCACCAAATCGAACATGAAAGCAGAAGCCACAGCGAAAGCATAAGAAAAGGGCGCTTATAATTGCGGCTATCTGCCACCACATCAAGGTAAGGTTAGCGTATTTTTCAAGTCCTTTTTATTGTTGAGGTTTTTATTTTTATTGGTGTCGGTCTTCCTCTTCTTCTTGCTGCTGTTGTTGCTGTTGTTGCTGTTGTGGTTATTAAATACCTTCAGTGATGAATGGTCATTGACGGCAAATACATAATTTTTTCGCTTAGATTCCTTTCCAGGACGCTCACCACAGTCGTGTAAATTAAGGATGTAATCAGCAACGGTATTAATATCGCTCCCCATGGGCAAATAAAACAGAAGCTTTCACTCAAGGTTGCTTTCAATTAAATGTTAAAATCATTAAAAGGAAATTATTTTAAAAAGAGAAAGAAAATTATTAAAACTGAAATTTTAATGGCAGAAAGGATATCGTTACATAAGGCAATTGAATAATGTGTCGATTTATGATAGCTTGTCCTGCAGCGTTTTAATTAGCCTTCGAGCAGACAATGCGGATAGCATAAAGCAGACGTTGAGCTAATGTTGAACAAATTAAAGTTTTAATATAAAATACCTTTGAGTAATTTTCTCAAGTACGTTTGTTAATGTACCTTAGTGCGGAAAGGAAGGATGACAACTCCATCCCATTTATTAAATTCTCAAAAATGAAAATATTCGATCTTAATGTTACTTACATGACGTTCTAATAAACTTGGTAGGTGATCGTTTGGGCGTCGCTCAGGATCGTTGTTGCGATAATAGGCGGTAAGGTTGGCTCCTAAGCGTATAGTAACTTCGTACCGAGTTTTGCCACTGCGTGTTGCTGAAATAACAATTTTTAATAAGTAAATACTACTCTGATATTTCGGAAAAGTTGAGAATAAAATCTTTGTTATCAAGAAATTTATTATATGATGGATCCTTCGGACTGTATTTAATAAATCGCATGTCAGATCTTTTGAGATGTTTATTATGCAATGAAGAAAATGACGATTATCAAATAAACTAGAAATATTTTTTTATTACCATGATGAGTCATGTGGCTGTATGTCTACTTGCCAAACTATCTATTGACCTATCCCATCAAGAGGTATGTATGTTGGCAATTGGTACGTTAAGCAATACATAGTAAGACCCATCATGCTACTATTATGCGTTTAATCTTTATTATATTGCATTTGGTGATAATAATGATTTCTTTTCAAAGTGCCCTTAACTTGAATTAGCAGATGGCCACCATAATAAGACATCATTTTGAAAAGTTCAAAAGGCAAACGCATGCTTACTAGCCACTTCTAATGTTATGCAAACAACTGAAATAAAATTTCATATATATGTATATCGAAAACATATCTATCTACTTTATAATGACGCAGTCATGTAAGATCCTTGCACACAAAAATTAAAAGATCTTCTCTTCATTCCTTCTGATCTACTTTTATAGAAGGACAAATTATCTTGTCTTGTCTTATCTTGTGATGCTATTTATTCCACAAAAAGTCTGTTTTTTTCACTACACGTGTGGCAAGATACTTGACTAGTTAATTAATTAAGTATAATGATTTGTCCGTTTTTCCATTTCTAAACAAATTGTCATACATGCTTTATTAATACGCTTCAAGGATGATTATGATTACTGAGTAGAGTTAATTCAGTGGTTCTTTGTTTACAAACTTTTTGTTATTAGTTTAGTTAGTTATTAGTTAAATATTCGATTAAATAAATCCAATGATGTGTCTTAAACACAATTTGTGCAATTGTCTTTCAATCTGCCCATCAATCTCTTAGTTTGTCCCTTAGTATGTCATAAGAGCAAATTCAATATTATATAAAATAATAACCTTTAGTGCATAAAGACATAGAGCACATTAAAAGTGATTGATTGATATAAGCATACATACATTTAATTGCAGTGGATTAAGGATGACATTTGAATGGAACAGCAAGTCAATAGTAAATTCATAATTCGTAATGTAACTGTCTACAGATAAAATACACTCATACAGTTATATACCAACAAAAAAATTGTGACTGCCAAACCACACATTTCGAGTAAAGGGAGTTAGAACTGCAGAACTTTCATGACGAGCGGCCTGAGATGAACTATTTTCCTATATCCTTCTTAATTTACAATATGCCCAATGTAGAAAAGTCAGTCAAAGTTATTATTTTAGTTAGTACGATATAATTACAACTTATATTTTAAACAAATAATATGCTTGAAAACTCACCTGAAGACCGTCTTGTTTTAATTAAAGAAGTACTGCTAATCCCTTTATCAAAATCACATTCTCGATGACAATCACTAGCAGATGAGTTATCAGTACAACCTGCAAATATTGAAAAGTTAAGTTAAGTTTTTATTAATAGACTTTGATTTCCGTCGGCAAGAACTCAATAATCTTTAATTTACTTTCTAAGGATATATTTCCGCCGTGTTATTTTAAGCACTTTCGACTTTAGACACTTTATTATAAAAGAGCGATATATGTGCTATTTGTAATCATCAATTGAACTATATAGTTGCAACGTCTATGATTAAGATACTGCCATTAAAATGTTGAATATTTTAAGGGAGAGAAAATTTTTAAGACTCAATCCAATAATGTGCCGAATAATACGGATAGCACCTTTAAAAGACTTATTAAAGAAGTGTCGTATTTACTAATTGTTAAGAATTTCGTCGGTGACGTTATAAAAAAGTAATCTTACAAAGAAACAAAAAAGTAAGTTCGTAAAAGAATTTACTTAAAAAACTCACAATAAGTGCATCTAAGGCTATTATCTTAGAAATCTGACATCGTTCATAAAATATAGAAGTGAAATTTTTTCTATGTTTTAAAAGTCGCATTTAGAACGCATTACTACAGTATTAGTAATAGATTTTATTTACTACGATACACTAATTAAAATATGATTTCTTGGTTACTCACCGA